CTTCATTTTCTCAGGAAGCCATTTATGTCATAAATTATGAGTTCATGTTTAGACATAATGGCCGTAATGTTAATCCGTATATAAAGTATAATTTATTAGGGCCGGCCCGTGGCTCACTTGGGAGAGGTGGTGCTGATAACACCAAGGCCATGGGTTTGGATCCCTATATAGGGATGGCTGTTTAGCTCACTTGGAGAGTGTGGTGCTGACAACGCCAAGTCAAGGGTTAAGATCCCTTTACGGGTCATCTTTAAACAAAAAAAGTATATATATATATATATAATTTATTTATTTTTTATTCGATAAACTTTTAATTTTAGAACAGTTGTAGATTTACAGAAAAATTGCAAAGTACAGAGCTCCTATATATTTCACATCCAGTTTTTTCTATTATTAACATCTTACATTAATATGGTATATTTCTTACATGTAATGAACCAATATCAACACATTTTTATTAACTAAAGTCCATACTTTATTCAGATATCTGTAGTTTTTCCCTAATGTTCCAGGGTCTCATCCAGAATACCACATTACATTTAGTAGTTATGTCTCTCAGGCTTCTCTTGGCTGTGACAGTTTCTGAGACTTTCCTTTGGTTTTTGGTGACCTACTTTCTCAGTTTTGAAGAGCTCTGGTCAGGTATTTTGTAGAATGTCTGATGTTTTACTCATAGTTAAACTGGGGTTATGTGTTTTAGGAGGAAGAACACAGAAGTAAAGTGCCATTTTCATCACATACTAATGTGTGTATATACCAAGGGTATATACCAGGGTATATCATAAAGCTTGTGGAAAAATAGAATTGAAAGATAATACTAGTCTTTTCATGAACTTTTTGAAGACCCCTTGTATTGTCAACATGGTTATCACTGTTGATGTTAACTTGATCACTTGGTTGAGGTAGTGTTAGGTTTTTTCATTGTAAATACTCTTCCTACCTCCCCCCACCCCTTTCTTTCTATACTGTACTTTTTGGAAAGAAGTTGCTATGCACAGCTTACCTTTTAGGAGGGGGGATTTACATTTTTTGGAATTCTTCTGCACAGGAAATTTGTTTCTTCACTCCCATTTATTGGTTTATTTAATAATTTATTTATTTCATTATGGACTTGTGGATATCTGTTTTATACTTTTTGTTACAATGCAGAACTACTTTATAGCTCAGATTGTTCCATCTCCAAGTTGGGAGTTCTTTCAGTCAGATTTTGTGTCCCTTTGACATACTCCCATAATTGGAGTGTTTCTTTGAGCACTTCCTTATTTTCTGGCACTACACTATGCTCCAGGCTTATCATGTATATTTCCCGTCCCAATTCTAGAACATCATCCATTTTTTCCAAGGAGCCTTGGTTCCTTTTTTGGAGGAATGTTACTAGAAATCAAGACCTGGAGGTGTGCTTTTTTTTTTTTTCCCTTAAAGAAAAAAATAGCAAAGTACTTTTATTTTCCTTCTGAAGCAAAAGATCATATCTCCTGTGTCCTATACGGAGATAATGTATTTCCCTTAAACAAAGAAAAAAATAGCAAAGTACTTTTATTTTCCTTCTGAAGCAAAAGATCATATCTCCTGTGTCCCTTAAAGAAAAAAATAGCAAAGTACTTTTATTTTCCTTCTGAAGCAAAAGATCATATCTCCTGTGTCCTATACGGAGATAATGTATGGGTGGGTAATCTCATACATGTTTGTCTGGAATAGACCTCTTTAATGCCTGCTGTCCTAGCAGGTTTAACATTAGACACAAAAGTGTTCTAAATTATATGACTACCTTAGCTCTAAGTTACAAAGGGAAGCAGTTGAATTTATACATCAACTTGACCCTGCAGAAATTGTTCCCATGTATCCGTGTTAGTGCCTTATTAATTCAGCATCTTTTGTAACTTAGCAGGGTCCTCAGCCAATATTTATTAGATGAATGAGCAGACAGCTGTTAAATGTTAAATAAAGGAGAAAATAGTTTTGGGCAACAAAGTTTAACTGTCCTTTCCATAGTGGAGTGCCTAACGTGGCAGAGAGAAAAAAGAAAACTAATATGTTTAGGTTGTTACCCTATTTCCCTCATTTTTAAATATGACTTTAATTGTTAGCTACGAAGGTACTTCAAGAAGTTCATGGAAAAATGGAGTTAAAAAATAATAGGAATCTTTCCATGTACTTTCTGAAGTACCCTCCTATATCTTTACTTGAGTTACAGTCTTTTTTTTCAGTTATGGGAAGGAGATGAATGAGTAATATTATATTAAATGTTAGTATATTTAAAAACTGCAGACTGATTTTCAAATAATTGTATGTGTGGATTTTTTTTCAGGGAGATAGGGGTGGGGGGAGGGATGTGCTTCTAAGAATTAGAAAATATCTAGCTGCTACTATGATAGACATTTTACATGCCTCATCTCTTTTAGCTTTCTCAACAATCTTGTGAGACAGTTATTTGCATTTGGCGTCTTGTGAGACAGTTATTCGCATTTGGCAAATAAGAAACCTGATGTTCAGAAGAGATGGAATTAAATCATGTGCTTAAAGGCACACAGCTAGGTGTGGCCCTTATTTTGTCTCAGATCATTCATACTCCTGTACAGCACATTAGTGAGAGACTATCATCCCATGATTTTGCTGCTGAGCCTTTTCAAATGTTAAGTGAAACTCTTAACTAATAAGNTGCCAGAAAATAAGGAAATTTGTTTCTTCACTCCCATTTATTGGTTTATTTAATAATTTATTTATTTCATTATGGACTTGTGGATATCTGTTTTATACTTTTTGTTACAATGCAGAACTACTTTATAGCTCAGATTGTTCCATCTCCAAGTTGGGAGTTCTTTCAGTCAGATTTTGTGTCCCTTTGACATACTCCCATAATTGGAGTGTTTCTTTGAGCACTTCCTTATTTTCTGGC